TATATATATATATATATATATATATATATATATATATATATATATATATATATATATATATCACATTTTTCTTATAGATTATTGTTCGCATGTTAACTTTTTATTCTGCTAATATTCGTTTATTACTTTATTTTTTAATACTTTTTTATTGATAATATTTATTAGTATTTCTACCATATTACAGATACAAAACTGTTAATATACAATGAATACGTAATGTTTCACAATAAATATTACCTAAAATCGTTATTAATAATACATAAATATTACCTATCCCAAGTTATGGTGGGTTATATTATATACCGTCTTAAGTTATGTTATGCTATACCATCGTTATAGCATCAGGTTACGTTATATACCATCTTAACTTATATTAAGTTATGCCATCTTATGTTATATTATACCATAATCTTAACTTATGTGAGGTTATGTTATATACCATCTTAGGTTGTGACAGAAGTCAGAAGAACTTTACGATAGATAAGAGTCCAAAACAGGAGTGAAATCTAGGATAAAATTAAGTGCTAAACTAAAATCAAAGTACTGTTAAAAACTAAGCCTAAGTTTAGAAAATAAATTTGTGGCCAGAAGCAAAAAAAAACCTGCGGCCAAACCTGCATATACAATAAAGACTTTGTAAATGAATCTCTCTTAAATCTATCTAATCAGCTGCAATAATAGCAACAGGTTTCTATAACGCCACTTCTTGGCAAGCATCCAAAAAACCACTCACACATCGCCTAAAAATGTGAATTGTTACTGAACTTTGGTAATACGAAGCTGTCACCTCTCACATCTTCCATGTTTGTTTCTTGTGTAATTTGGTGACACGTAGGTGTACGTGAAAAATACACCTGATGTTTTAGATATACGTGAAAGTCTAAATTTGAGCAAATAGGATGAAATGTGGAGAGTGTAACAAAGTGGATAAATGTGCTTAGAACCTAAAACGTAGGGAAATTTATAGGAAGACTTAATAAGCAAGAGAATTCGGGTAGATGGAATATAATAAGTGTAATAGATATAATAATATAATAAGAATATAATAAGATAAATGGATAAGTAAGAATGAAAAACTTCAAGCAAATAAGAAAACTAAAGGTCAAAAATTTCAGTCTATATTGTTTTTGTTTCTTTCTCTTCTTTTACTGTTTGCACTTACTCTTCCTCTCTCTTTACTGTTTGTTTTAACCCTTCGAAGGCTATGTTTAAATTTTTCACGATGTATTCTAATATTTTATAGAAATTAAGCATTAGTCTATGGTATTAAAATAAAGAAAATTGTTTCTCTTCATATGTAAAAAATATTATCTCACTTATAAATGTTTTCCTGTTTCTAGTTTACAAATAACGTTTCGCTGATTTCGGTTTGCTGCTAAAATAAGAAAGCCAATATTTTACCTTAAAAATAAGAAGTTATTTGAGCACATCAGCCTAAAAAAGAATTGCATTATAGGATTACTGTTGCTATTACGTAGCTGAATGAATCAGCAATTAAGGAATTAGGCGAGTTTCTCTTCCCGTTGTTGTTGATCTATTATTATTATTATTATTGGTGCTTACTATCATTAATGCTTATTGGTATTTGCAAAGTAATTTAACGTTTTAAGTTCGCATCAGCAATTAGTTTAGATTCAGCATTTTGCGAAATATTTTCAGCTACTAACCCCATATAAACCGATGTCATCCGCAACAGCACACCCTAATGACAAAAACGCATTTGATGGAAAAAAATTCGTGATTGATTTGGCATCTGGCGGCACAGCTGCTGCTGTTTCCAAAACTGCTGTCGCACCCATCGAACGTGTCAAATTACTTCTTCAGGTATTATTATTTTGTCTAAGTGGAAATATTTAAGCTACTATTGACTTGTGGTCAAGTATTGTTTTAGATATATCTATCATATTGGTACTCTTTGCCGCATGGATAAAGTTTGTTTAGCAGCATGGTTTAATAATTGGAATAAAAAGTTGTGAGTTGGGAATGACCATATCTTTGAGAGATTTAATAAGACGACGGACGTATATTTGCATAAAATTGTTTTTCGTCGCAAACCTTGCTAAATTTTGAAAGGAAGACTACAGTGTAGATCCGATGTGACTACACGGCGACATTAGACAATTTTCTCTTAGACAGTTAAGGGTGAAGATGATAAATTATGCAACGGGGAAGATGGAAAATTAGAAAACTTGGTAGGATACATAAGTATGGGAAGTTTCTAGTCGTTCGGGGTGCCGATTTACAGGTGGTTTGGCTTATTGTTATTAATGTTATTGTTCAAAGCCAAGATTATTTGGAATAATCTGAAACGACTTAGTTATAGCGAGGGAATATAAAACTTCTCACTAATGTTGAAAATTTGCATCTTTTCTTGACAAGTCACCCGAAAGATGCATTTGGGCTTCTCCAGCCTAGTTTTGGGTTTCAATTTTGAAGGAAGATTCCAAGTTTAAAGAAAATTATTTTTAGGATATGTTGTGGTAAGAATACGTAATAACAAGATTTGTAGACCGAGGTTTTTAGCGCAGTGAATACCAGTGATAATTATCACAATATTAAACAACTGTTTTTCTGTCAGGAAGAGAGAACAGTTCATTTTTTTCCAGGTACAACATGCATCCAAAACAATTGAAGCTGATAAACGTTACAAAGGTATTATCGATGTATTTAAGCGTGTACCTGCTGAGCAGGGTTTTGCATCATTTTGGCGTGGTAATTTGGCTAATGTGATACGGTATTTCCCTACACAAGCGCTAAATTTCGCATTCAAAGATACTTACAAGAAAATTTTCGTCGCTGGATACGACAAAGATAAAGTAAGTGTTTTATGAATAAAGCCAAGAAGTAAGCATATTGGTAAATGCTTCGCATAATATTTTGACAAATTTATACGGATGAATCATTTAGATCATTCGGAAAAAGAGGATTATTGATTCTCACGTGGTGTCATAAACCGAATCATTGCAGGATTTCTGGAAGTTCTTTGGCGGCAATTTATTAAGTGGTGGTGCCGCAGGTGCTACATCTCTATGTTTCGTGTATCCACTTGATTTTGCCCGTACTCGTCTTGCGGTTGACGTTGGCAAGGGTGCAACCCGTGAGTTTAATGGCTTGATAGATTGTTTGGCAAAAGTCGTTAAAAGCGACGGTCCAGTTGGACTTTATCGTGGTTTTATGGTATCAGTGCAAGGCATCATTGTATATCGTGCAGCTTACTTCGGTCTTTTTGATACAATCAAAATGATGGTTTCTACAGACCAAAAGAAACTCAACTTCTTCGCTGCTTGGATGATTGCTCAGGTATGTTGCTTACCTGAAGTTTTTTTTTACTCTGTTATTGAAATAAATCGGACCCGTGAATTGTTTTGGATCTGCATCGAGAACAAATTTGAGCTTAACGTTCGATGGCGCAATATGATTGATGTTTGCCGAAATCCCATGCTTTTTGAAAGAACTAAGCCACAGCAGGCATGTATGCATGTCACCTATAATTAACTGATGGTCGTTTCAGGTTGTAACTGTTGGATCTGGAATTCTGTCATACCCATGGGATACGGTACGTCGACGAATGATGATGCAGTCTGGTCGCAAAGAAATACTTTACACAAATACTTGGGATTGTGCAAAGAAGGTTGTTGCCAACGAAGGAGTCACAGCACTTTACAAGGGTGCTCTTTCCAACGTCTTCCGAGGCACAGGTGGCGCGCTGGTATTAGCTATTTACGATGAAATCCACAAATTCTTATAAATTGCCACTTGTAAGAAGTCTAGGTATTGCGAAGACACGGACGACATCTGGTTTCCTTTATCGTGTTTAACATTATGACGGGATTCACTATCAGCTATAATCACGCCCAAGAAGTACACCATTGTCGTACATAATGTTTACTTTTGTCATTACTAATTACCTGTACTTCATTTTACAACTTAGGATTTGAAAACTGGTCTAAATAGTGCATTGCATGGGGTGTGAGCTTAAACATTATTGTTCTGTAATTTAAATACTTCACTTCCCAGTAGGATACCTCACTATGTTCATTTCATTTATTCTTTAACTACCTCTTTATATGTTGTTGCTAGGTTGGCCATATATGGCAGACTGGTATGATATATGTTTTTCATAATTTCGATAAACTTTGTAGGACGGTGATACTATAAGATCGCATGCTATTGACGAAATAGGTATTTTGACCTAATCACGTAGTGCATCTAACCCATCTTGTTTCGCATCTTACATCTTTCCAAGTGGCTGCAGTTATGGAAGCAATTATTTTATTAAGAATCGGAAGTGTTTTAGGATTTTATGACTATTTTCATTCAACACAGCATTCTTGATAAGTGACTCATCAGCAAGTGAAAATATAATCCAAACTAAAAGCAGGGAACTCATTTCAACAACATGAATTGGTTGAACAAGAATGTTTGGTTCGAAATGAAATTTAAAGGTTTTCTCGAGATGCATGAGACCAGCGCTTAAATTTGCCAAAGCAACTAGCAAATACATCACCAATTTTAATGAACAAAAAATGTTTTAAGTCGACCATTTAAAGTGAAGAAATTATGTCCAACTTACATTCGGAAAACCCATAATTTAGGCAAAAATACCACTGCACAACAACGAGATCATTGATGCATATGATTTGACTTAAATTTTTTTAAACAATATTTAATGAAAATTATTTAGCAGTCAGTAATGTCACTGAAATATTCGTGACGCAACGCTGCTTCGGCATCGATACGACCGGATGGATTACAAATCAGAAGCCGCTAAAACAAACAATTTTATGTCATCTGCCTAAGGCATAAATTACTAGAAAAAGAAGGGAAGCCCTAGTTTTCAAATTCTTCGAATAGTAAAAATTTTAAAAACATGGAAGGGATGGGGCGCCGTGTTTACATGAGCTTAACGTATAAGTATATATTGCTGCCGTGATTTGCTACGCATATTGCTAACGTGATAAATGTATATTGCCATCGTGACTATAAATGTATATTGCTACTGTAACTTGTTGGAGTTGGTAACAAAAGAAAACCGAAGTGAAATGGAAAGCATAATTGGAAATCCTTAGAAAAGCTCATTCCCGCTTTATCCGGAAAATCAGAGCATGGGTTGTAATGAACGTTATAGAAAGTAAACAAACGCATAATGTACGTAACACATACCTGAAGCAAGTCGCGTCCGCGAGCAGGAAGATTAGGTACCACTTGTCCAATTGTAAGGGAAGGATGATACAGGGGCATCGGCTAGAAGACAATAAATATTTTCGGAATTAAGCTTTACCAAAAGCTATGGTGGGGAAACGGATACATTCTGAGACTTGAAGCTCTCGGTAATTTTTATAAATACTGAGCATTAAAGCTTAGGTATTGAGGATTTGAACTGTCAAAAGTCCAAATCTTTAACAACCTTGAATTCCGGAAGCTGGGAAAGACCTGGCCATGTGGCATCTGTCGGAGTACCAAGCATTTTGAAAATCCTCTTCAGCTGATCATCTACATCAGCACCTGGGAAAAGCGGCCTTCCGGCATTCGAAATTTCTGAAAACTCCTAGTTGTAATATTTAAAAATCAATAAATTAACGAAAAATGAAACCTTTTAAGACCTACCAGCAAAGATACATCCGGCAGACCACATATCAATTGAAGTATTATAAAGCTTTGCACCGAAGAGAACATCAGGAGGTCGATACCACAACGTGACAACCTTAATCAGTACTTTAAGAGAAAAAAAAGAGTTGCAGTATAATTCACACAAGCTGCAATAAATCACAGTTCTGATAGTTTCAGTCATCAAATCGTTTCATTCTGTAAGATTACTGGTTAATGACTGGTTTTAATCAAATCATTTCTTGAAATTTACAACTTGAAAGCAGTTAAATAAACAAACCTCAGCGCTATAGCATCGGACAGGTATGCCAAATGCTCGTGCCAATCCGAAATCTGCCAACTTCAATTGCATATTAGTATTTATCAATAAATTCTGGGGTTTTAGATCACGATGAAGGACGTTGTGTGAATGACAGAAGGCTAATCCACATAATAATTGATGCATAAGTGATTTAACTATCTGCAAATTCGAATATTTGGCTAAAATGTTCTCGTTGATCGGATTGTAACAACACAGCTGGAAACTTAAACCCTAAAACACCATAGCTAACTGCACCTTCAAAATTTTGGAAACTGCAATTAACTTCCTTTAAACCTTATAACATAACGATTTAAAACTAAATGTGATACATAATGCGAGATATCGTGAGAAATATTTTCATTATAGCGTATCATATCTTACAAGGCATGCCGTTAAATGTAAATTAAGAATAAATTTTCAAATTAAGACCTTAGTCAAAATATGCCAGGATTAGTTCAAATGGAATTTGCGTTTGAATACCTTACAAACAAGTAACAAATTAATGAATATTACCTGTTGATCGATTTCACCATTGCATGAATCGAAATATTTTTTTAAATCCTGATTACAATATTCAAAAACTAACGTGAGCTTACGCTCACTATGGACAACATCATATAAGCGCACGATATTCTCATGCTTGAGCTCTTTTAGTAAACATATTTCGCGCAATGCCGAACTTGGAACACCCTGAAAGATGTTTACATATGGATAGACCAAAATATTATGATATTCTTGAATGAATATAATAAATTTACCTATAGTCTAAGCATTTAACTACAAGCTCATCAAGTAATCATTTGTACTTACCAGTGGAAAATGATTAATGTATGCACAAGGATAATACTTGTTGTGCATTTAAGAATTACGTCTAACAAACAGAACTAATACATTTATTGCATTTTACTGATTGACTGCATTTAAATACCATCGATTTCCAAAAAACTGTGGATCACCAATCTATTTGATTCGAGTAACACTCATGTGCTCGATCAATATAAGACTAAAACTGAATGATTTTAGCAATCAGACTAGGTAGCAAAAACAAACAAGGAAATGCACCTCATCGTCATCATCCAAACGTACACATTTCATTGCCACAATCTCTTGAGTGCCACAATTCTTGGCTTTAAAAACAGTTCCATACGTGCCTAAAATATTGGATAAGTTAGATAACAATGATAATTTCCTACAGTTAACAAATCACAACATTTTCATAAATTGCGGGACTTTTTAAACTTTTATTTAATATTCCGCAATTTTTATAATTTTAGAAATTGAGGAAAAGACTGCAGAAAGTTTAGATCCCAATTTGAAATAATTAGGCTGAAAAGTAATCAGTAGCATCACACTTCAACAAATTTGAAAATGAGATTTTAAAAATTTTAAATATTTACGACAGATCTTCGGTCTTTGTCCCGAAATAGCCAAACATGTAGAGTGATAAGTATAATTGCATATCAATAAATTTGAAAATGAAACTTTTTACTACTTTTTGCTGATTTATTTACTAAACTAGGGAATTACAAGAATTTATTTGAATAATTTTCAAGACAAAATTAAAGCTTTGAATTTTATTCCCAAACAGGTAAATTACAAAAATTTTACATTCCGTTTTAAAGCAAATAAGCAAAACAAACCCTCGCCAATTTTTTCCAGCTTCTCGTAATTTTTCATTTCACTGCTTTTACTAGTGTTGATGTTTCAATTAAATACGTCCTTTGACAATGCTTTATGTTCGCGTTCGATGCAAGTACCACCTTTCTTCACTTCGTGATACAATCTAACTTTTGCTTGTTACTCATCACACTTTTTGCCATATTACCTTGATATATCTCGGAATATATCTGAAATTTATCATAGAAATCGAAAAAGTATGGATTAAACCAACCGAACAACCAATTAATTATACTAATTATAAAGAAAACCACACTGAGGAAAAACCGCAAGTCTCCCAATTCATTTAATGCCCAAATCTCAAATAACACGCGCGGGATGTAGAATTTTCAAAACGATGTCGTCAGAAGGAGCGTCAGTTTTCCCGTGAATTTTGCGTCTTCCGAGAGCTCGCGGGATATGGCTATGAGGTGGTAGCGTTCATTGGAATTGGTGAATTTTATGTTTATATATGTTTATCTCTATGTGTTTTAATGGAGAGGTAATTTCGTCTCGCCTATTAACACTTGTAATGAGTATTTTTGCGAATTCTGAACGAGGGTTTTTTGCATCCCAAGATTTACTAGAGATCGGATTGGACGGATTTCAGCTCTTAGAGGATTATAATACTGGAGAAATAATATGGCACCGTGAAGGATCAATGTGGCAATTATTTGCAGTATGAAGTGCCACCGATGATCAGTATGTAGAACCATTTATGGCGTGACGTATCATGGGTAATCAGCACAAAGGTCATCAAAGACATGAATCATCACGAAGGAATGTTTACAAGAATTTCAAAAAGTTTATTTCGGAGTACTCAGGTTCCTTTTATTTCCTCTGACACGCCCAATCCGGCGAATGTTTCTTATCCTAAACTGTTCGAATTCTTCGGAATCTCATGCAGCATATTACAAATTTTACAATTAACACAGTAACTATTTAATGTGAATATTCACAGGGCGGTTTTCGTGAACATCTTTCTTCGAGCTAGACGAAGCCTTGGCAGTCTGCTCACATCCGACCGGAAGTTGTCAAAAGCATCTAGGTTCCTGTAACTTTGATTACTGCTTGGATGATAGCATAAGCATGTATGTGTATCTAGAATACTTTTGCCATAACACTTCGTGACACAGCTGCACGTACACGTTTCGTCATTCCATGCCTTGTTCGGACCTTAAATGTAACGCTTGCTTAAACTTTTGAACTTTTAAAATTTTTTTTCTTTTTTGTTTGCTCATTTCCAAGCAAAAAGAACAAGGTTTGATTGATTTTGAAAAGTTGAAAGAGACAAGGAACTACCGGAGCTTTTCATCCAACGCCAAGTGGAAGTCTTAAAATCTAATTGAAACTGGAATGTGGACTTGAAATCTAAAAAAAATCTATCCATTCGTTCGAAAGAAAAAAAAGATTACACATCAAACTTGATTTGTCCGATGGGAAGAGAAGATCGACTTTCATGCATATGATTAGGAAAAGAAGTCTTATCTATTTAATTAAGATGTACATTTGCGATCAGTGTGTTTGACTGGTATGACGAATCGAAGTTTGTCTATCAGATTGAAGGAGAGTATTAAAATTTCTTCTCTGTTGAAAGTGGGAAGTTGAAATCAACATATTCCATCGGGATGCGAAATACAGGGTTAGGATAGAGCTCTATAATTCAGCTAACTGCGGTATTTGGCCAGTGAAATCAAAAAGTTAAGATTCATCCTTCAATTATGATGGGAAATGTGTTTAAATCCATTTTTTTTTCTTCGAACATTAAAAACCTTGACAGTGTCTTTTTTCTTCTTTATTCCCGCATTCACATTCACAGTTTGGACCGACAGTTTTCTTCAGCGAGCATTGAATAGCTGCACCAAATCGAGTGCATGGTCGACAGCTGCAAGCAGTATGTTGTTCGATTGTTATATTTCGCGTTTGATTGATTACAAACAGATTATTGCCAGAATATAGCATTTCAATGATCTATAAAAAGCGTTACACATTTTTTATTTGCAACTGAAAAAATTAATATTAATCCGTTTCAAATTCAAACATTTTCCTGTTAGAAGTATTTGCAGGAAAAATAGTGATATCCCATCCCTTTTGTTTGTTTTAAATATTTCTGTTAATCGTTCTATGCCCTTTTTTCAAATATTGGGTTTTTCGAGTATTAAAATGCAGTTTCATAGTCGTCAAATGAATAAGTTATAAATGATTATTAGTAATGAATAAATTGTAAATAATTAGTGAGAAATGTGTAAATTGTAAATAATTGGTAGGGAATGAGTAAATTATAAGTGACTAGTTGGGAAGGAATAAATTATAAATTGTTAGTGAGGGATGAACAAATTATCAAATATATATTAAGTGTCAAATATTTTAATTATCAAATACGTAGTGTAAAATTGGACAGATAATGCATCAATTGTTGAAAATTATTTGTTCATAACAGTATGTAACAAATCTGTTTGTGGTTAACTACTGTATATTGTTATATATGAAGTATAATCATGCATTAATAATCAAATCAAAAGAGCGAATGGAAGAGTTTGTTAAATAAGCCATAATTTATTCTGCTTAGCCGATTTGGGTGCCATGTAATTCGATTATGAATTGATGCAAAATTAATGGTGGTTATTTGTAGCTTACTTGAAATTTGTGAAACATATATGCATGAGATTAGTATTATTGTTATCTGTAAAATTTCTTATTGATATAGATAAATAATGTTACTTGCAATATATCTTAGCATTAGTTATAAATTCACTAATTGATATTATTAAATAGATAGGTAGATCGATGGAATAATTCATTTAGATCTAGAAATTTCGGATAGGTTAAAAATGCCATTAATTGTTATGTGCATTGAATAGAAATGGAATGTTATCGATGTATGGTATAGAATGAAATGAAAGAAGCGGAAAAAAAAGAAAATATTTCAAAATATTACCGGCTGTTGAATATATTCAATACTGGTTGGATGGCAGTGTTCGGTGAATTCACAGCATGTCCCAATACATTGTGTTACTTCATAGCATCTCGGGAATATCAGTAATCCAGGATCAGGATTTTCCGGTAATATAGGGATACAGGCTTTATGCAACTCACATATATCTGCACCTTGTCGAATTGTGCTCAGTATATCTAAGCTTTTCCTTGTATTAGCTAAATTATAGATTATTTTATTTTACTATAATAATTAAACTACTATGACCATTTTTTTTATGAATTATTTTGAAAGGAAAACTAAACAAATTGAACAGTTCTACAAATTATTGTCAGAAAAGTTTATTAGTATTAGATGCTTACCGTTCACTACTGAATTTTCTTATACTCCCTAATCTCTTTATGAATGACATTAGTTAAAGCTTATATATTGCGATTTAAAAATATAAAGTGAAATGTTAATATCTGCATAAAAATTGAAATTAAATTTAATATGAAAATGTTTTTACAACGTTTCAGTATTTTCTCTTTCAACGTAATTATGATTATTTTATTGTTAGCACTACTAATCGGTAGTCATTGCTTCTTTTTGGTAATTATTGCTTTTAAGTTATGCTTGGAATATCTGTTGATGCACTTATGTTAGAATATTTAAGGAGTAGCAGGTGAAATTCATAGTTAATTGACAAAACAATGCTTAATAATAGAAGGAGGTGATGTCGATGTTTAGCAGGCTTAATCTTATTTTAAAAATCCTTTGGGTTTTTTTTTCTTCATATTGAATGTGGTTTGAGAAGCTTTTAATTTTGGTCGATGTCTGTTTAAATTTGTGGTGTAAAGGAATATATTCTTTTTATATTATTTTTCTCTTAACTCTTTCCTGTCTTATCCGTTGTAAATAATACATGTACAGTAGAAATAAAAATTAAAATTCAAAAAATGATGAGAATTATTGCTTTTTAGATGAACAATAACGACTACCGTATCGTTTTGTAGAGCCAATCAGACGTTTCGGATCAATTTTTGAAAATTTTGCAATTGGAATTCTTGCGGAAAATTTTGTCATCAGATTACTATTGAAGTTAAATGTATCATTTGCATGTTTCATCTGATGTTTTGAAGTCTGATTTTTCTTGTGATTTTGAAGCCCCTTTCTGAGTTTTTATCCACAGAAAAAAAGAGTCGGTCAGATGTTATTGTTTATTGCTGCTGTTACCATTATTGTTTCCATTACTATTATTATTTATTACTGTTATTGTTATTGTTACTGTAACTTATTATTGTTCTTGGTACTTTATTTTTATTATTATTATTATGTTATTAGTATCATTGTCGCTGTTATTATCGTTACAATGTAATCAAGTAAATAGAAACAAGTTGATTTCAAATCATAATGGTAATAATGTTTAAGTTCAGATCTTTTTTTCAAATGTTCAATTACTGAATTTTCTATTGCCCCATCAAATTACTTTTTTTTTTCCAGATTTCAAGGGAGACGAGAATGGAAATTTTGCAAAAATAAACAAACCGTCGATATCTTCACGAAAATTGGATTTTCTTGTAATGGTTGATTTTTGAAATGCGGATGCTCCATATAACTTGCGGTTCGTGTAAGATCGTATTTCAGCTGGCTGTAATTCTTTGCGACCCTTGAAGGTTGGTTCGTTTTCATTTCCAAGTAAATGTGATGCATACGAAAGTTGTGTGGCGGATAGCAATTCATCAAATGTACGCGCTTCACGTACCTTTTTACGTATATCATCAGGTATAGCTTTTTGTGCTAACGGATGTTCGTTCAGTAATAGTAATAGTAGTAGTAATGGTAGTATTAGGGTAATTGTCAGTGACATAATCTGCAGTATATAAGTTTGGGATTAACTTAAATAATTTAGTTTTGTTTGATGTTTAAAGAAGTTTAGAATGACAATTTATCGTTTTTCGTTATTTTTCAACATATTTTCAACTGCAACTTCATCCCGTTTAAATTCAGTATGATTAGTGGTTAAACAGACAGTTAACATCTTTGTCATTAGCGATAATAAGTTACACACCATCAATTCATTTTGGTTAGTGATGAATAAGTCTAAGGTGAAGATTTGCCGTTTTTTGCTGACATCAAAGAAAGTCCTTCTCAACATCTATTAATTGGAATTTAATAAAATTAAAGGAAAAGAAATTTAGATGGAATTTTAAGTTCGTGGTGAGAAAAGGAACTGATTTTAAGGAGAACTGTGGAATATGAAAGAGGTAACGTCTCCCATTGATTGGGGGACGGCAAAGAAATTGGTTTGAACAACTGCGTTTTGAGCACCTTGTCATTTGTTTAAATGCCATACGATTCGTTTTCCTCTTTCACTATGTTATCGAACATTTGATTCCTCCTTTTCAGCTGCTACATCAGAAAAATCATTAATTTAACATAATCTTTGGAAGAAACACTCATAAATTATTCCAGTGTAAATTTTCACAATTAGTTTTTTTTTCTCCTGTCAGAGTGAAGTAATTCATACCTGAAGTAAAGTACTGATTTCAAAAAACAGATTTCGAAATGACTGGCTACTTTTCTATGGATATTTGTGAGGTAGACGAAAGGTGAGAGGTTTGAGCTTAAAATGTCAGTAAACTTCACAAAAGTGTGCCATAATCAAATAGTACTGCAATGTAATATCTATAAAATGCATCGTATATTGAACTTTTAAATGTTGAATGGCTTCGTGATGATTCATCACTTCTAGTCTTTTAGATTATATAATGACATCCTTCTGTTAAATTCATTCATTTTCAATACAAAAATTCATTCAACTGTGTGGTTTTACAACAAAGACTTAGACTTTGATCTTTTCTCGCGAAGATGTTTCTTGCTGTTTAAAAATTTAAATGTTGTTTTTTTTTCATTTAAAATTTTTTGAAACCATGAATAATTTCAAGTCAATGGATTGTTTTAATCATTGGCATAGTGGGCTCTTTTTTTCTGATATCCTGTAATTTATTTAACTTGCATTTTTTACATCATTATTGGAAGAAAGTATTGTGCTGAATGACAGGATTACTCAGGTAATTTGTCAATTTTTTTTCTAGTTACCATAATATACCCTGATTCCTTTGGCCTTATAGGTCAACTTAGCTCTGGTCATATAAGGTATTGTTTAATGTATGCCATCTTCCAATACTCTCATTCTGCGATACATTATTCATTTTTGGTCATGTCACTATAGTTTCATCCTATCGTTTCCATAAACTATGGTTTTTGCTCTTTCTCCTTCCTCTTCTTTTCTCTCTCGCAGAGGATTATTTACCAGTTATTCCTTCTATACATTGGAATCGAATTATATTTTTGGAGTAGCATATAAAAAGCCAAAAAAAAAGACCATTGAATAATCATTCCAGTATCAATATAATGTTTCAGGAATGAAAATTGCTGTTGGGATGATATTCCATGAAAATTTGCATTTTTTTTTTTATTTCCTCCATCCCATATTCCAAAGATATCATTTCAAGATTCGTTTACTTGGATGAACTTTAATCTTGTATTAAAATTAAATTTCGTTCTTTTTTTATTTTTTTCTCAAGCGAAACTGTTGACCATTGCTTGAGAGGAAGGGCAAATGATACATGGTCGAATGAATATTTTGAGACAAATGTGGTATTGGTGATGTTGATTGATTTGCCCTGTTTTCGCTTCCTGTACATGCCTATAATGGAGGGCGTGGTGCTGCATCATCCAGTCATTTTTAACTTCTCATTCCTAATTTTTTTATCAGATAAAATTTTTATTCATTGAAAGCAAATTATCTGAAATGGTTGTTACTGGTGGTCGATTTATAGTGATACTTAACAACTTGATTGATCAATGTTTATGAATCATAACTTCTGGCTATTCTAACATTAAACTTCTCTAATATATGTCTCAGGCTTTTTAGACAACTGCTCATTTTTTTATTTATAAAAATTTTAATCCACAGTTTAGGTGGAATTTATTTAAACTTTGTATGAAAGACGAAATAAAAAAGCATGAGGTAAGTAAATGGTGAAATAGGTTCTCAAAATATTCAAAGAAGTTATTTTTGAAGAACTAGAAGTGTAATTTGTTGAGGTACGTACAATTTCCTTGAAATGCAATATGATACATGGGTAACTCTAGTTTTTAAATTGTGTACTTGCTTGCTTAATTACTCGCTCATTTACCACGACTACTTGTTTGTATATTTCGGACTTCATGTAGAATTACTATAGTAACTTATTAAATTACTTCATCTATTTAGCTTATAAATGGATGAAGAAAGGTTTGTTTTATCAGTTTATATAATATTAACGTTACTGAAACATTTGATGGTAGATTGCGCCATCATAATGTTTGTAAATGTATGTGACCTGTAACAAAAACATGTAGTGGTTGTAGTTCTTGCAACAATAGTGGCGGTATACGAAGAGAGATGCGGGCGATGCGGGAGATGAATATTGATGTGTTGTCCCAATATGGTGTCACTTTTCATTCTCTCATCCTTTTGGTCATATGTTCTTGAATGGTCGAATTATTCGCAGTTCGTAAGGAATAATAACATTTAATCAAATGGGTACTAACCGTGACAGAAAGGAGTGGCAGAGAGAAAGTGTGAGAGGATAGATAGTTGAGCTAGCGGAATTATTTATTAGTAACAGTTATTGGTGAAGGAGACAGGTTCGGGGAAAGAAGAAAAATTGAAGAGGTGGAAAATATATATATATATATATATATCGATGTTTGCTATATAACATATGGTAGCATTGAAAGTATTGTCTATAATGTCTCTTTAGTAAATAGACATTGAATGGCAAACGTTATATGTGGTAAAGCTGCTGAGATATTTCCCGATGAGGAGCGGGGGAGGAAGGATACTTAAATAAGTAAATGAATATACAAATGAATATATATATATATATATATATATATATATATATATATATATATATATATATATATATATATATATATATATATATATA